GGTACGTGTTGCTGGGTAAGGGTGCATTAAAGTGATCTTGTTGGACAAAAAACAGGTTTGCTGTAGGGTAAAACTGTGGCCAGGCTATGGACATTTTGAAATGTAGTTACCATGGAGCGATTCATCCTCAATGTTCTGAGAAAAAATATTTTCAATGTTGTTTTTTCTTGTTAGATGGTTTTGTTCTCCCCTCCCAGCTGGAAGATGGCAGTCTGACAGCTTTCCAATCTGTAATATAAACACAGAGCGGACGCACAGTGAGAGGAAAGAGCAGAGTGCAGAGACCAGACTTGTAAGTCTTCACTGAATCTTGTTTCAGGATGAACTGCTCCACAGTGCCGGCAACTACAGAGGTCACTGAGGATGTGTCTGAAAACCCATTTACTGCTCAAGAATACGTAAATATTTGAACGTCAATAATCTGGTCACAGTTCTATTGTAAGGTCATATGATTAAGCATTGTCAAATACAGTGAAGTAAAAGGCGTGGGCACACCCTCCATTTTGTGCATACATGAGCCCTTATCCTGATCTAGCCTAAAACATTTCCAAGGTAGAACTTACCATGAGCCTCGGCTTAAAACATTTCTATACCCCTCAACAGCTCAAAGGACTGGAAAAAAATTCTCTCTGTAAAAGATTTCAATGGAACATCCACTAAAGGGCAATGGGGTTACTAGAGTTACATTAAATTCTACATCTACCAGTTTTATGTCAACGGTCTAGGACCGTGTGGCAGAACGTTCACCCTCCCCTCTATTAGGCTTCCTATGGACGTCAACAGGTCCAGGGACCTACACTGGATTGAACCTAGACTTGGCATTAATAGATGAAGACATGGACAATCTGCATTTTAGTGTTTATCCAGAGTGCTTAAATGAAACCTTCGTAATGGACTTCCGATTGCATCAACGACACCCTTTCAATGAACTTCTATTGCTCCAATGACATCCCTCAGACAGAACTTCTATTGCCCAAATTACCTCTACTAATGGGCTTCCACTGCTCCAATGACATCCTCATAATGGACTTCCATGGCCCAAATGACCTCTTCATAATGGACTTCCATTGCCCAATGATCCCCACATAATGGACCTCCATGGCTCCAATGATCCCCACATAACGGACCTCCATGGCTCCAATGATCCCCACATAATGGACCTCCATGGCTCCAATGATCCCCACATAATGGACCTCCATGGCTCCAATGATCCCCACATAATGGACCTCCATGGCTCAAATTACCCCCTTATAATGGACCTCCATGGCTCCAATTACACCCTTATAATGGGCTTCTATTTCTTAAATGACACCCTCAAATGGGCTTCTACTGCTCCAATGACATCCTCATAATGGGCTTCCACTGCTCCAATGACATCCTCATAATGGACTTCCATGGCCCAAATGACCCCCTTATAATGGACTTCCATGGCTCTAATGACCCCCACATAATGGACTTCCATGGCTCTAATGACCCCCACATAATGGACTTCCATGGCTCTAATGACCCCCACAAAATGGACTTCCATGGCTCCAATGACCCCCACATAACGGACTTCCATGGCTCCAATGACCCCCACATAACGGACCTCCATGGCTCCAATGACACCCTTATAATGGTCTTCTATTGCTCCAATGACACCCTTATAATGGTCTTCTATTACTCCAATGACACCCTTATAATGGTCTTCTATTGCTCCAATGACACCCTTATAATGGTTTCTATTGCTCCAATGACACCCTTATAATGGTTTCTATTGCTCCAATGACACCCTTATAATGAGCTTCTATTGCTCCAATGACACCCTTATAAAGGGCTTCTATTTCTAAAATGACACCCTCATAATGGACCTCCATGGCTCAAATTACCCCCTCATAATAGACTTCCATGGCTTCATCAAAGACACCTTCATAATGGAAGTATATGGCTCCAATGACACAAGTATAATGGACTTCCATGGCTCCAAAGACACCCTTCATAATGGGCTTATATTGCTCCAATGACACCCTTATAATGGACTTCTATGGATCCAATGACACCCTTAAAATGGATCTCTACTTTCAGGGCAAGATCCTTCCTTGTGACATCAAACAATGGCCAAAAACTCACAATGGACGCTTTCTCTGATATTTAGAAAATATATGTAATAAAATAAAAAAACAGACAAATATACATGAAAAACAAAGGAAGATTGCTACCTATATACTGTAGATAACAGCTTCCTACATTTATGAACAAACAAGTAAAATACAATTAAATTCACTTTGGTTTTAAGGACGTAGACATGGTTATATTCTGGTTTATGGGTGACCAATAACGGTTTACAATGTCTTTTACTGGACCAACCTCAACGTTTTATGAATGTAAAGTCAAAGCAATGGATGCATTAAGGCAGTCTGCGTAACGACGATCACAAATTCACGTATCTGAAGAGAATACAAGTGAAAAACTAACTTGTGTTTATATCTATAAAAATATTAGTATATGTATTATTATAAAAGGACGGCTTTGGGCTGAGAAAAGCACTGAATATCTTAGGACTGTAACAGCCCACTTCCAGACTGCAGACATTGCTTAGGGATTAAAGAGGGACGAAGTGAATTAGAAACCAACCTTTCAAAGTTAACATACACTTTAATGACACCAGGGTGACCACAGATACATCTAAAAACATGGAACGAGAGGTGGTCACCTAATATCTTGTAAGTACTCACACTAGGTACATGTCCGGCTGTTGACCAGACTGCACCATTCATTATTGTGATCACTAGACTGGAAGCACCTAGAAAACAACTGCACCCTACCCCATTACAATTTAAAGTGGAACTTCTATGGCTTCAATGACCAGCTCATGATGGGTTTCTATTGCTCCAATGACACCCTCATAATTGGCTTCTATAGCTCCAATGGCACCCGAATAGTGAACCTCAAGGTCTCCAATGACACCCTCATAATGGGCTTCTATGGCTCCAATGACCAGCTCATAAAGGGTTTCTATTGCTCCAATACCACCCTCATAACAAACATCTATTGCTCCAATGATGCCCTCATAAAGGACTTCTATAGCTCCAATGACCTCAAGGTTTCCAATGACACCCTCATAATAGGCTTCTATGACTCCAACGACCAGCTTGTAATGGGCTGCTTTTGCTTCAATGCCACCCTCGTAGAAAACTTGGCTGAAAAGACACCCTCACAATGGACTTCTATAGCTCCAATGACACCCTAATAGTGGACCTCAAGGGATCTAATTACACCCTCATAATGGGCTTCTAGGGCTCCAATGACCAGCTTGTAATGGGATTATTTTGCTCCAATGCCACCATCGTAATAAACGTCAATGACTCCCTCATAATGGACTTCTATAGCTCCAATGACACCCTAATAGTGGACCTCAAGGGATCCAATGACACTCTCATAATGGGCTTCTAGGGCTCCAATGACCAGCTTGTAATGGGATTATTTTGCTCCAATGCCACCATCGTAATAAACTTCAATGACTCCCTCATAATGGACTTCTATAGCTCCAATGACACCCTAATAGTGGACCTCAAGGGATCCAATTACACCTTCATAATGGGCTTCTAGGGCTCCAATGACCAGCTTGTAATGGGATTATTTTGCTCCAATGCCACCATCATAATAAACTTCAATGACTCCAATGACACGCTCATAATGGACTTCTGTTGCTCCAATGCCACCCTCATAACAGACCTCAAGGTCTCCAATGACACCCTCACAATGAACGTCTATGGCTCCAATGACACCCTTATAATGGACTTATATCTGCCTGGAGTTCAGTTTTAAAATAGAAACTATAAAAGTGGGTTTGTATCTGCTCCACTTCTTAAAAGATCACTATTCTCATCCCTCAAAGAAAAAAAAAAAAAAAAAAAAAAAACAACCACAAGATCGATTTTATTTTTATTAGTACTCACACGTATGGTGATGATAAAACTTTGCTCATAGCAATCACAATGACATTTAATCCTTCACAGGGCAAGGAACCCCACCACCTTGGTTAGCCCTCCTCACTGGTCCTACACATATATATGGCGGGATGAAGGTGGGTCTTATGTCGTGTACGCCCATCACACAGGGACGATCAGGAGCTGGTGAGCTGGGCTCTCAATCACGTGATCAATGTGATGGCCAATCACAGTGATCACAATCAACATTAAGATTTCCTGTTAAAGAGGTGGCTTCTGTCAGCAGAAGAGACTTACCAGCTTCAGAAATCAGCTCTTCTGATGGAAAAACTGCGATCCCCGGACATGAACATCCCTCAGTACACGGCTTCATGTAAACAAAGTGATGGCTGGGCTATGTCTGCCATGGTAGTACTGGACAGGAAGTCCCTCCCAAGTCACTTATTTTAGATACACCCTGGTTGAATAACCTCCTGACATTCACACATGGTTTTCATAACTTCCCTTTCTGATGGAATATGAAAAGCACACAGCAAATGAGAGGCAGCCTCGGCTGTGCATGTTTCCATAAGAGACTGTGTAGAGGGAGGATTGTCTATTCCCCCACTCAGGTCTCCGATTACACTCAGCCTCCTGCTGTGCAGTGTGTCACATCAGGTCCCCACCCCCTCCCCCTGGAAGCTCAGAAATGCTTTAAAAATTCCGACTTGTAAAACACAGGATGAAGTTTCCAGGCTTGATACTTTGATCTCGCATTTTCATTGACAGTGACTTATAAATGCAGTGATCTGAGCCTATGGAAGTTATTAAAACAGACTCTACCCTTTGTTAATTTAGGGCAAAGTAACAGATCTCTTCATAAAGCACCCCCACCAGTCACTCTGTTCCCTTCCTCCGAGGATGCATTGACTCCTAAGAAACACGACCCGCTCGCCCAAATCCAAAGCACTATCTCCATTCTGGCACAAAATACACAATGTGGAGGTTGTTCCAGACCAGGGTTTCTCAACTAGGGTTCCTTCTATAGGTTGCTAGCGGTTCCTTGAGCATTTCCTGCCTCTCAGATAAGTTCCCACTGACACCAATGATCTTTTTAGTCATCTGTAAGGGACATACTTCCCACTGACCACCAATGTAAGGGACATTCTTCCCACTGACCCCCAATGTAAGGGACATTCTTCCCACTGACCCCCAATGTAAGGGACATTCTTCCCACTGACAACCAATGTAAGGGACATTCTTCCCACTGATCCCCAATGTAAGGGACATTCTTCCCACTGACCCCCAATGTAAGGGACATTCTTCCCACTGACCCCAATGTAAGGGACATTCTTCCCACTGATCACCAATGTAAGGGACAGTCTTCTCACTGACCACCAATGTAAGGGACATTCTTCCCACTGACCCCAATGTAAGGGACATTCTTCCCACTGACCACCAATGTAAGGGACATTCTTCCCACTGATCCCCAATGTAAGGGACATTCTTCTCAATGACCCCCAATGTAAGGGACATTCTTCCCACTGACCCCCAATGTAAGGGACATTCTTCCCACTGATCACCAATGTAAGGGACATTCTTCCCACTGACCCCCAATGTAAGGGGCATTCTTCCCACTGACCCCAATGTAAGGGACATTCTTCCCACTGACCACCAATGTAAGGGACATTCTTCCCACTGACCCCCAATGTAAGGGACATTCTTCCCACTGACCACCAATGTAAGGGACATTCTTCCCACTGACCCCCAATGTAAGGGACATTCTTCCCACTGACCCCCAATGTAAGGGACATTCTTCCCACTGACCCCCAATGTAAGGGTCATTCTTCCCACTGACCCCCCCAATGTAAGGGTCATTCTTCCCACTGACCCCCCCAATGTAAGGGTCATTCTTCCCACTGACCCCCCCAATGTAAGAGACATTCTTCCCACTGACCCAGCATGTAAGGGACATTCTTCCCACTGACCCAGAATGTAAGGGGACATTCTTCCCACTGACCCAGAATGTAAGGGACATTCTTCCCACTGACCCAGAATGTAAGGGACATTCTTCCCACTGACCCAGAATGTAAGGGACATTCTTCCCACTGACCCCCCAATGTGAGGGACATTCTTCCCACTGACCACCAATGTAAGGGACATTCTTCCCACTGACCACCAATGTAAGGGACATTCTTCCCACTGACCCCCAGTGTAAGGGACATTCTTCCCACTGACCACCAATGTAAGGGACATTCTTCCCACTGACCATCACACTAATGTATCACGAGATGCAGATAGTCATTGTTAGGAGTTCCCTGAGACGGGAAAGTTATTCCAAGTGTTTCTCTGTGGTGAAAAGCTTGAGAAAGGTTGTTCTACACAATCTGACATACACCTTGTAAGCTGGGTATGACATGAAGGTAGACAAAGGATTTCACCCTTCATATTGGGGGAAGGAACCCTAAAGGAAAGTCCAGCCAACGCTTTTTTTTTTGAGTTTGGATACAGTGAAGAAGCTCTGCAACCTCTACCATGTTCTTAGTGCTGTGTGAGCCCCATCCTTGACACCAACATCATAAAAGCCCGATCAAAGTTCTAATATTCCCCATCAACAGGGCTCTGTCAGAAAAACACTTTTTGGGGGGAGACAAAAAAAGGGTGCACTCTGTCTCCAATAGGAAGCTTTTCCCTCACTTTCTGCGTGGTCACTGAGTAAAGGTAAGTGAAATCCAATGGGGACACAGACAAATTACTGCGGTTGGGGAGAATTCCTCCAACTTCCTGGAATGGTTGGAAAACGAGGAGAAGCAGACAGCAATATAAAAGCTAAGTATAATAGGTCAAAGGAAGCGCCAAACGAAAAATCCTTAGGAGTCCAGGACAGTCCACGCGTTTTGGGAAGCTCACAATCCCCCTTCATGAGGGCTACGTGAAATGACGGAATGATATATGAACCCAAAACTACTCCAAAGCAGACAGATCTGCAGGCAGAGGATGTTAGAGACAACAGTCAGTGCTGAAGTAGCCTACCACTACTACTGGAATACCAGCACTGACTGTTGTCTCTAACATCCTCTGCCTGCAGATCTGTCTGCTTAGGAGTATTGCTGAATTCATTTATCATTTTGCCATTTCACCCAGCCTTGATGAAGGAGCATCATGTGGCCCCAAAATGCATGTCCTTTGCCCTGCTTCTGGTAACCAGTTGAATAATAAAGACTTTGGACTCCCAAGGATTATTCCTTTGGTGCTCCTTTTCACATACTATGCTTGGATTTCTCAACGTTGATGTATTTCCTCTCCTGGGGGGGCACATCTTTGTGATGAGCTGCTAAATACAGACCAACTGGGCACAAGTCATGACTTTGTTCACATTTTGATAACCAGTGAAAATCTCTGTCTAGCGCACCTCTACCACTACCTTTTGAGCAATATACAGGCCGGCAGCGGTCCTCGCTCTCCTAAGAAGACAAAAGGGTTTTCATGGTTATGTCCCTGAGGGATAGCGCCTCACTTCTGGTTCCTATATCAAAACAGTACAGGGGAATGTCCCCTACAAGAGTAGAGGAACACCTGAGGATCACAGCACTATAGAGGAACTTCATAGCCTAGAGCAGCTTTTCTCAACCAGGGTTCCTTGGAACCCTATGGTGACTCCAGACGTTGCTAGGGGGCTCCTTGAACAATTAATTTTCTGGCTCTCAGATGAATATCCAGTGACACCATTGATCTTTTAAGCTATCAGTAAGAGGGGATTCTTCTCAATGACCACCAAAGTAAGGAGCATACCTCCCACTGACATCACATTAATATGCCATGAGCTGTAGAGATAGTAATTGTTAGCAGGGGTTCCCCGAGACCAGAGTTATTTCAAGAGTTCCCCTGTGTTAAAAACGTAGGAGAATGACTGGTCTAGTGGTCTTTGTGAAGAGCTGGAGATGTCGGATGCTTCCTTGCTCAGTTAGAGGAACTCTGAAAGCCATATCCAAAAAAAACAAAACAAAAACAGAGGACAAGGGACTAGTCGCCAGCAGTGCCTGTGGTCTCCCTGCAACTGATCCTTTCCCCATTACTGACTTACCATGCCTTGTTCTGTGTGGAGGTGGACATTTTGGTAGAGGCAGGGCTTTGCTTCCTCATGTCAGGAATGTATCCCTGAAGACTGGTCGAGCAATGATAGAGGAGGAGGAAGCACAGGTCCACAAATTGGATGCAACAGGGAGATCCTTGCACTGCAGATCCTTAGGTACAGCTTCATTTCCAGCAAGGAGAACAGTGAGCAGAGCAGTAGTGACATCAGGAAATCTCACATTAAAGCTCCACAAACTAGCAGTCAGAGGAAGCAGAGCCTTAGAACTCATACGGCAGATATAAAGCTATGAGGCAGGACATTTTGGTAGAGGCAGGGCTTTGCTTCCTCATGTCAGGGCTGCCTCCTTGATGACTGGTTGAGCAATGACAGAGGAGGGGGAAGCACAGATCCACAAATTGGATGAAACAGGGAGATCCTTGCACTGCAGGTTGTTAGGTACAGCTTCATTTCCAGCAAGGAGAACAGTGAGCAACGCAGTAGTGACATCAGGAAATCTCACATTAAAGCTCCACAAACTAGCAGTCAGAGGAAGCAGAGCCTTAGATCTCATACGGCAGATATAAAGCTATGAGGCAGGACATTTTTGGTAGAGGCAGGGCTTTGCTTCCTCATGTCAGGGCTGCCTCCTTGATGACTGGTTGAGCAATTTTAGAGGAGGAGGAAGCACAGATCCACAAATTGGATGAAACAGGGAGATCCTTGCACTGCAGGTCCTTAGGTACAGCTTCATTTCCAGCAAGGAGAACAGTGAGCAACGCAGTAGTGACATCAGGAAATCTCACATTAAAGCTCCACAAACTAGCAGTCAGAGGAAGCAGAGCCTTAGATCTCATACGGCAGATATAAAGCTATGAGGCAGGACATTTTGGTAGAGGCAGGGCTTTGCTTCCTCATGTCAGGGCTGCCTCCTTGATGACTGGTTGAGCAATTTTAGAGGAGGGGGAAGCACAGATCCACAAATTGGATGAAACAGGGAGATCCTTGCACTGCAGGTTGTTAGGTACAGCTTCATTTCCAGCAAGGAGAACAGTGAGCAACGCGCAGTAGTGACATCAGGAAATCTCACATTAAAGCTCCACAAACTAGCAGTCAGAGGAAGCAGAGCCTTAGATCTCATACGGCAGATATAAAGCTATGAGGCAGGACATTTTGGTAGAGGCAGGGCTTTGCTTCCTCATGTCAGGGCTGCCTCCTTGATGACTGGTTGAGCAATTTTAGAGGAGGGGGAAGCACAGATCCACAAATTGGATGAAACAGGGAGATCCTTGCACTGCAGGTTGTTAGGTACAGCTTCATTTCCAGCAAGGAGAACAGTGAGCAGCGCAGTAGTGACATCAGGAAATCTCCACAAACTAGCAGTCAGAAGCAGCAGAGCCTTAGATCTCATGCGGCAGATATACAGCTATGAGGCTACAGAACACAAGTGCCTAGGCACCCTCACATACTAGGAAATCTATTGCAATATTTTATTTTTTTTTTAGGAGGAATCCTAGACAAAAAAGGAATGTTTTTCTGTTTTTTTGCATTTTTAAATGTTCCCTAAAAGATGGCAAATTTTCACTGTTTTGAGATCAATTCCTGCAGTTACAGATCAATGCTGGTAGCACTTCAACTGATCTCACTGCTAACGAGAACAACAAAAATAACAAAAAATGAGCGTAGCCAGCAATATGTCAAGAAATCCTCCAACTTTGCGCACACAGCAGAATCTTGCGTAAAAGCATCCGAGGCTTGGCTGTAGTCTGATGCCGATTTGGCAGACCACAAATATTCCCGCGAACTAAATTTGTACGTCAAAACATTTAGAATTAGAAGCACGATCCTTCGTACGATCGGCGAGCCGCAGACCGAATTACATAGAACACGGCGCCCATTATCGCAGGTGCGCGAGGTTCGGCGGAAGCCTAGCCAACGGGATTCTCACAGAAAATAATAATAATAAAAAAAAAAAAAATCCCGGAGAAGACTTCAAGGCAGTGACCTTTGTAGACACGGCGTGTGGATAAACTCTACAGACAGGAGATGAAGGAAGCAGATGGCGCGTCTCCAGGAGAGGAGCTCATGTTTAATGCACAAAGTGAAGACTTCCAGGTAAGTCCTTTTATCTCCCCTGCTACGCCACTTAACACTGAGATATGATAATTGCAAGATACTTTTCCCATGTTAATGAATTTTAATTATCTTTCATTCAGATGATCTGAACGCTCTAATAAAAGATGGGAACATCTGCAGCTGCCTGGAACATCAAGTCAGAGAGAGGAGAACAGACTCAAAATGCTGAAAACCAACAGATTACATTTAAGCCTCTTGCACACTGAAACATTTTTTTATGTTTTTTTTTTTTATATGGAGGTAAAATGTAACTCATTATTTACAATGTGACTTTGCACACAGGCGCGGAAATAAGCGACGCGCATTCCTCAGTAAAAAAAAAAAAATTAAAAAAGGAAATCTGCATTTTTGGTCAGTTATGTAGCCTCCCTAGCGGTCTGATGATGTCAGTATTTCTGTGCTCAAAGCGGTACTTTTTTTTGCATGAAAATGTTTTTTTTTTTAATTGTAGGCCTGTAATTCTTAGGAATAACTCACTGAAATCTGTCCGAACAAAAGTCTAGTAAACATCCGGGGAGGATAAAACTTGAAACACGAAATCATAAATTATAATTTAATCCCTTGACGCCGACGGCACACAAAT